CATCAGTGAAAAAGTCTGAAAAAGTGTTTGCCCATGCAATAAATAATCATTCTTACAATCAAGCTACTCATGCAGAAATTCATCTGCCGAACAACTGGTGTGAATCAAAGTTTCAGTTCCAAAATGCAATCAATTCATATGCAAAGTCTTCCCTTTAAAAGAGCGGTTCTCAACCTGTGGGTCGTGACCCCTTTGGCGGTCGAACGACCCTTTCACAGGGGTCGCCTAAGACCATCCTGCATATCAGATATTTACATTACAATTCATAACAGTAGCAAAATTACAGTTATGAAGTAGCAACGAAAATAATTTTATGGTTGGGGGTCACCACAACATGAGGAACTGTATTTAAAGGGCAGAAGGTTGAGAACCACTGCTTTAAAAGGCCAGCTTCACGCTGATGAGGTGAGGAGAACTAATTCCCTGGAGGTTTCACTTAGTGCCTTGAGTGTGTTGTTAAAACCGCTCAGTGTGGGAAGTGTGACTCTCCCCTGAGGACTCACACGCTGCCTCAACGGGCACTTCGACATCGTCCTCTCCAACGGCCAGGAACAGCAGGCCCTTCTCCCCTCCTCTGTGCTGTCCATTAAGAAGCTGGGAAACCGTTTTTCCGGCAAAACTGTCCTTAAACTAAGATTCTGATTTTAGAGTCTTAACTGGATCGACCACTCAGTCCTTATTCTTTCCAAGTGCAGACTCGATGCTGCTCTTCTCCCGGCTCACTTCCCAAATCAGAGTCCACCTGCTGCCACACAGGGACGCCCGTGCCAGGGCGTTCTCGGCATTGCTTCCAGGTGTAATGCTGGGAGGACGCACAGCACAGCGCGCTGACTGACTAGTCCGCTGGCGCAGGCCTGAGCTCTGCGCTGAAGGTCAAGGCAGCGCAGCTGGGACTTTTATTGTCAGGTGAGAGGGGAAAGCATTTTAATTTGTGAATCTAATTAAAATGATTTTATTTATAGAAAAGTATTTTATATTATATATAATAAATTATACATGTAATACATATTACATATAAATCATGCATTTATATGAGATATATTTATAATAATTTGAAAAAAGAAACATTGTTATTAATATTTAATAAAATCACTTATTAAGTATTTAAATTATATTGTTTAATAATTTAACATCTAAGGTTTAGCACAGCCCCGACCTGAGGTCTGGGACGACGCCAGAGTGAGTTTCGTGCGCGTGAGCGCAGGCAGCGTGCTCACAGGCCCTTGCAGACCCCGAGGCACACCTTCCGGTCTCTACCTCCTGGCCTCCCATGCTGAGCCCAGACAGGTCTCCATCAATGTGTTCCCCGCCATGTGCCTCAAAGCAGGGAGCGGCTGTGCAAAGTTAGGTTCCACCGGTTTTTCTGAAGCGATCCCGAGACCATGAATGTCTGTGAGGACAACCTGCGTGCGGGCAGTAAGGGGAGGATGGGGAGGATGCAGGCTTGGTGCAGACAGGGTTTTGAGGCCTGGCGGGACCAGAATTGCCAGGTAGCCATGGAAACCACCGTATGCGTTGACCCACCCTGGGAAACAGCATCAGACTGTCAAATGAGCCTTCAGACTTTGTGCTAGGCTAACGTTTATTGTTTATTTTCCTTTCTTTTTTTTTTGTTAATCCTCACCTGAGGATATTTTTTCCCATTTATTTTTAGAGAGAGTGGAAGGGAGGGGGAGAGAGAGAGAGATACATCAATGTGAGAGAGACACATTGATTGGTTGCCTCCCGCAAGGGCCCTGACTGGGGCCAGGGATCGAGCCTGAAACTGAGGTACGTGCCTTTGACTGGATTCAAACCTGGTACCATTCAGTCCTCAGGCTGATGCTCTATCCATGAAGCCAAACCAGCAGGGCTATTTTTTATTTTCCTAATGACATTATTTATTCATCACTGACTTGTGAATGTAAAAGTTCTTATATCAGCCTAGAGTTGAAGGTCTGAGATCACCGATTTCCTTTCACAATTCCCTGAGCTTTTCTATAAGCAAATATTTCCTTGTGTTGTAACTGTTTATGACAAAATTTTCCATGGGTACGTTCTGATTGATTTTATGTTGTGTCATTTAAAAACGCTATTTCATGCCGGGCCAGTGTGCTCAGTGGTTGAGCATCAATCTATGAATCAGGAGGTCTTGGCTCGATTCCTGGTCAGGGCACAAGCCCGGGTTGCAGGCTCGATCCCCAGTAGGGGGTGTGCAGGAGGCAGCCGATGGATGTTTCTCTCTCAGCGATGTTTCTATCTCTCTCCCTCTCCCTTTTTCTCTGAAATTAATAAAAATCTATTTTAAAAAATAAAAATGCTATTTCATAATTTCTGCAGCACTTTTATCTGAGGAGAAAACTTGTTCTCATATTTACATTAAGAAGAGATGCGCATCAAAATGTATCAACATTTCTTTTATCTAAGGAATTTAAATGACAATTATTAATGTTCATCATTGAAATATGAAACGGAATATATGTGCTCATGTTTGATAGCTTATTTCATTCACAAGTTTTATTTTTCTCTGCTTTATAAAAACTTCGTTGATTTCCACATGTAGCTCCAGGCATGGCCTGCAGGAGGCGCTCACTCTCTGACTCTGGCACAACATGAACCGCCTGTAGGGCTGCAAGGAGAGCTGACATTCCGACAGTCCCTACGCACCACGGATGGAGCTAAATGCATGATGCAAACGTTCTTATTGATTCTCTATTTCACAAATAAGGACCTGAAGCTTGGGGTTGAAATAACTGCCTAAACTAATAGAGCTTATCTGTAAGGGTCAGAGGCAAGGAGGTGGAAGCAGTTTCTAAATGTACATAGTAGCACCTTTTTAAGACACTGGCAGGCAGTGGGCGGGAGTATGCAATATTTAACACTGCGTTATTCACTAAGATGAGTTTTCATTCAACACAGAATTAAAGTGAATGTCCATGAGGTGTGCAGGGTCCAATGTTATATAGTCACGTGCCCATGATCTCATGGACCACATACCATGCTCTTATTCCCTTTGGCAAGCAACTGAGATAAAAGTCACTACTTTGAATATATGTTTCTTGCAGTAGATTACCTGTTGCCTGGTAGGCTCGTGTGTGCCTCATAGTCACCATTACCCTGCTCTCTCACTGAAAAGGGTCAGGAAAGATTCGTACATACTTTTGGACAATTTTATTTAAAATCATTTCCTTGGAGGAGAATGGAGAAATTTCACTATGACATAAAATGTCCAGTCAGCAGAACCATTTGGGTATATGTTTCAACCCACTTTACTTCTAAGTCATATCTAAGTCATACCTAAGTCATATCTAAGTTATGTTTCAGTCACGTCTAAGTCATACCTAAGTCATGTCTAAATCATACTTAAGCCATGCCTGTCACACGTAAGTCATATCTAAGTTGTTTCCGTCACATCTAAGTCATACTTAATTCATGCCTAAGTCATATATGTCACACCTAATTCATATCTAAATCTTACTTAAGTAATTTTAAGTCATATCTAAGTCATACTTAAGTCATGTCTAAGTCATACCTAAGTCATGTCTAAGTCATACCTAAGTCATATCTAAGTCATGTCATCATCTGCTATGTCAGTTTTCCCATGTTGAGTATTTGCTGAGTTATAAATCATTCTTCTTTGGAAACTTTTTCTCAGGGCTCTACTACTGAGTTCTAAACTCTAAATAAGTTTAGAACAAAGATTATGGAGGGTGTGCAATAAAAAATGACTTCCATCTCAGCGCAGTGGGAGGACGGAACACCGCTGAGAAAGTGCACTAAGTGAGGCGTGAAGAAAAGCTGTTTCACCCCATTGACGCGAGGGCAGGACACACATGCATTCTGAATGAAAGGCTTCTCTCGGCTTAGAGATGCCTAACAACAGCAGTGGGTGACCAATGAGGGAAGGAAGTGCGCTCTAGTGATTTCTTTGGACCAGATCACCTCGACCTTCCATTTTTCATGAAGTCCTCCAATAAATCACCTGCTCCTTTCTATTCCCCTGCCTCCCAAGCAATTATTTTGACTACTGTGATTCAAGCGACTTTCTGAGATGCTTTTATGAGGAGTAGAAGGGGAGGGAACTGTGGTGCTCAAGGAGTAACAGAAATATTCAAAGGCCACGAACAAAGACATACAAGAAAATGGATGTGGTCACTCAGAATCTAACCCCATCCGTGTCCTGGTTACCGAGCATGAGTACAGTGGACCCCAGATGTGATTGTTTTTTTGTCAAATGCCGCACAACCTCCTCAGAGCAAGATACCACCTCTTCCAACTCCTCTGCGACTCGACAGCATCGACATAACGCCGAGCATGCAGAAGTGCTCACCTTTGACTATTAGAATGTCCTAAAGTGACTAGTACATTAATAATCCTTTAATATATTAGTCAAGGGATTACTGGACAGATCCGTTAAAAACAATTAGTTCGAAATGCCCGAAGACCATCCATGTGTTCTTGCCCACAATATACGATCATTGGACCATGTACCTTGACTCAGGACGATACCACCAGCTCTGTGTTCAGGGAGCCAGTCAGTGTGAATTGAGTGGAGAAATAAAAGTGAAATGAGAAAAAAAGAGAAAAGACAGAGATTTTGGAGATAGAGTTAGAGAAATTGGCAAAAGAAACACTAAGCAGAGAAGACTGAAAGGAAACAGCAAAGGTGGGTGGACAGGAAACAGTGACGCTGTAGTTCTGAGGAAAGCTTAGAGCCTGACTGAGCATGTTTACATGATGAGAGTAGAGATGATTAGTCTACCTGTGCTCACTGGGATAGAGTGTTTCACAGACGTTTGTCAGCAGAATTTCTGAGGTCACAGAACAGCCTAGGGTGCATTTTATGTAAGTCTTTATAAAATGGAGGTATTGATGCCGCTGAAGAAATGATGGACCCAGAGATGTGGTAAGACACTGAATATGGAATTAAATGACTGAAACACAATCTCAGCAAACCTTGGTAATTTGAATTAAAAATTGATTAAAGAATTGAGATTTAAAATACTTAGACATATACTCACCCAACAGATAGGAAAGGCTCCTTTGACTCAAGTCTGTGAAAAAAATATAAAAAGTTTATTTTAACATAATGATATGTTATACGATTAAATTGCTTTTGTAAAAACCTGACCAAATTATTATCCTTGTTGGGGTGAAAATGCACAACTTAGCACCAGTGTAAAGGCTATAAATAATATATTAACCCCTAATCAGGACTAATTCAAATTCTAGCTGGATTAATGGGGAGGCTAAAAAAATGAGACAACCCTGGTATGGGATGTAGCATTGAACTGATACATTAGGATAACATTGTTTCTTTAATTCTGATTTGCACTCTCTATATCTACTTATTTTCTGTCCCCCTTCCCCCCTCCCGCCCAAGTAATTTGTTTGTAGAAGTTCCTACATCTGTCTGTGATTGTTGGAGCAGTAAAATTTACAATGTATTTGGTTATATATTAATTGAATAATTTATTTCCAGTAAATCTCCCAGCAGGAAGATCTAAGCATCATGGTGCCCTGGTCACTTCGTGACACCAACACCCTGGAGTCAGGACACAGGTGAGGTCTTCCTGCTCCTCGTGTCCCGGGGAACAGGTACTTGCAGCTCCTCACATGTTAATGGGGAAGTTAATTCTGAAGCCTCTGCTTTGTTGTGGCATCTGGAACAACCCACTTGAAAACATTTGGGGCCGAGGGATTGAGCAAAATAGAAAGAAAAAAGAGAAAGAACTCCTGGGGGGGAGGGCGGAGGGGGAGGTGGAAGAAGGTAGAGGGAGGATAAACGGTGATGGAAGAACATAAAGGGAAAAAAGAAATAGAAGGAGGCAAATATAAAAAATAATTAAAATAAAATTAGTAAACCACAAAACAACAACAACAAAACCCCACATTGTGGCCCGTACTTCTCTCATTGTAGCAGAGGCTAGGACTGCGTCCAGTGACTGTGCTTCTCTCTTACATTAACTCTATATTCTTTGCAAAAGGTCAGCAAGCTCAACGCTTCCTTATTAACAACCAAGGAGACCGGCTGGTAGGTGTGCATTGGCCACTTTGTTTCCATATAAGTTTCTTATCATATAACTAGAGGCCCGATGCACGAAATTCATGCAAGGTAGGCCCTTGAGTCCCCCGCTGCTGGGGCTCTCAGAATCTCGGCTGCAAGGCCCCGCCCCTTGCCTACACCCACCTTGGCCTGGCGCGGCCTGTGTCCGCCACCACACCCCCCCCCTCAGTTCCCTGGTTCCGAAAAGCCCCCTAATCAATCACCCTGCAGAGGGTGGCCTGGGCCTCCCTCTGTGAGGTGATCGTGGGGTGATGGCGGGCCCCCCGACCAATGGCATTGCACCCGCCTTGGCTGGCCTGGCACCAGGGCCTGTCATAGCGTGGTCGTCCGGATGGTCGTTCTGCTGTTTGGCTGTTTGGTCTATTTGCATATTACGCTTTTATTATTATAGGTTATAGGTTAAATGCAGGCAATTATTGAAGACATTTTCATCTAAATCCTGGCACTTAAGATTTTTAGAAATATTTCTTGTTTTAAATTATTTTATTTACATGTATGTCACCCCTTTCTTGACAATTTCAATAACCGTAAGATGATGCCCAAAGATATGTTTATTGATTTTTTTTTTTTAGAGCAAGAGGGGCAGAGAGAGAAACACTGATCTGTTACCCCCTGTACACTCCCTGACCGGGGATCGAACCCACCACATTTTGGTGTCTGGGATGATGCACCAATCAACTGAGCCACCTGGCCAGGGCTTTCCATGGAGCTCTTTATCGCTTCTCTTACCAACCACTTTACTGCACGAAATTTGTCTACTTATTGCTCAGACGTGTTCGGGTTAGCTATGCCTTGCTGTCTTTAGCATCCATTTCTATATGAGCACTGATTTTTCCTCCTTCCCCACTGCATGATCTCTTTAGCTTTCGAGTCTCTCTACCGCCTGCTAAAGCCGATCGGTGTCTTACAGGAACAGCCCTGTCTCTGTTTCTGTGACCCCTTATCTCCATCACTGTGACCGTCTCAGGACACAGTCCTGGTTAACAGGCTGAGAGGGCCGTGCAGACTGGTGAGAACATGAAGCTTGCCTTCGGCTGGACAAGAAGCTCCTGAGGCTCTGTGTGAGCCTCCCAATGGGTCCAGGGCAGGGGGTTGGGAGGGGGGCGCGGGGAGCTGGCTGGTGCTCTGGGAGCTGAGCAAAGAGGAAAGATGATGTCCACTGAGCACAAGTCCTAGGTGCCTGGACCCCCAAGCACTTTCAGTGGTGACATGAGCAGGAAGTCATGGTGGGGAGCCACCAGCCATCCTGCCTCAGGTCTCACCCTCCGAGTGGTGACCAGTGACCTCAGTGAGCCGTGCTGAGCTTCTAAACCACCTGCTCGGCCGCCCCTCACCACACAGGGCCAATGCCCTGCCTGAGGGGTTCAGAGATTCTTACGCTTTCTCGTGCATTACATAGCAAACACTGAGCCAGCCCAAGGGGCGGCAGTGAAGAACACGAGGTTATGTACTTGGGGGTAGTCTGCAGGGTCCCCACAGAGCGGACTGGAATGTAGAAAAAACTCACTCCCGTCATTTTAGTCTTGAAAAGTGAAAAGAGTAAGTAAAAGAAGGAAAGTACTGGAGAAACAGGCCCCTGAGGAAAACTGTTAATCGATTGAAACCCTGGAAACATGATTACATGGCAGAATACCCAGAGACAACTTCTCTGAGTTTTTTTTTTTTAAATATATTTCTTTATTGATTTCAGTGAGGAAGGGAGAAGGAGAGAGAGATAGAAACATCAATGATGAGAGAGAATCATGGATCGGCTGCCTCCCACACACCCCCCACTGGGGATGGAGCCCGCAACCCAGGCATGTGCCCTTGGCCGGAATCAAACCTGGGACCCCCCCAGTCCACAGGCTGACGCTCTATCCACTGAGCCAAGCCAGCTAAGGCTTCTCTGAGTTTTTTATAAGGTAATTGTTTTGTGAAGAAAATAATTGATTTTACCTTTCCTGAGATTTACTTTTAACAGGAAATAGGTAGTGAATTTAATAATACTTCGTTCAGGATCCACTAGAACTATGAGTAGAATAAGATAAACTTCCAAAAAGTAGGCGCAGTAGAGAAGTAAAATATAATGCAAAATTTAGATCAATATTTGGGGCTAAAGGATTTGTAACACTTTGTATTTTACAACAACGAAGAACTAAGCTGTATTTACTGAGGGCCCGGCATTATTCAAAATGCTTTATAAACGTTGATTTATTTCAGCAACATGATACCCTCTGAGGTGGAGCTCATGTTACAGATGAGGACATGCTACCTGTCTTGCCCACGGTCACAGAGCTGACCGGTGGTGGAGGCCGGATTGAAGCTGGGCAGCTGGGCCTGAAGGTCATGGGCTCCGTCCGGTGTGGTTCGCCCTGTCTCACCAGTTTGTTTTGTTTGCACATTGCTGATGGGATTGCCGCAAGTCCTCCCTTCATTCTTTCTTAATTCTCCTGAGAGGTCTCATCTGATTTCCAATGTTGTCCACATTCCAGATGTTCCCAAACACCCCTCTCTGGCATCACCCCATTTCCGATGCGTGGCTACGTCTGCCCAGCATGCACCTTCAACTGCAGGTGCCTTTAAGGCAACACGGCCCAGATTCGATTCCTTGCCTCCCTCTCTCCCTCCCTCCCTCTCTCCCTCCCTCCCTCCCTCCCTCCCTCCCTCCCTCCCTCCCTCCCTCCCTCATTCTTCTCCTCTTTGCCCCTCACTCAATGGCACCACTGGCACTGGCATCGCTCAGAGACCCGAGACTGAGCTGGAAGGAGGGGAACGTTGCTCATTCACTCCGCACAACCTCAGGGCACAGCCTCTCCCGGTTCCCCTGTTTCTGTTGCCCAGGCCTCTTCACGCTGCTCCTGCCTCTCAGTTCTCACTGCTGCAGTGTGAGGATCATCAGCTTCAGGCGCCGCAGAGCCGCGCCCTAGCCTCCCTCTGTA